AATGGAATTCAATAATTATGATTTATTTTTGTTAAGAGATTAGCTAATGATATATTGGATCAACCAGAAAATCAGGCAAAGGAAAATCCAGATAGGTTTGTTGAGAGAATCTCTCCATCTCTCTCTTATTGTTGTAACTATAAATACATAATAGGACACCATCATTTCAGTGTGGTGAAAATTTCTCAAATTATTATCTTCTTCTCTCATATATTCTCAGTTCTTCACTATTTTTTATTAATTGTGACCGTCCAGACAGAGTAATTTGAAAGTGAATAAACTATGATTTGATATGATTATTTGGAACGCAAAATAGCATACTTGTAATAATTTAGAAAAAAGATGGGATGTTGTTTACTTTCATTGCCAATACAACGGTATTGCAGCTGAGTAGAATGAAATGTTCAGGTATATATTACGACTATAAAACCAGTGATGTTTCATAAGATACTCACTTCCATTATTGTGTAAATTGAATTTGTGTCCACTTGAAATAAATTTACATCAATGTGAATTATCCTACGATTATGTTGAGATTTAATTTACATTTCTCATTTGACATACCTTACGATTAAATTGGGATGTACTTAATCCGTGATAAAATTTACATGGTGATTTATCCAAAGATTATATTGAGATTTATTTTACATTTATCAACATTCATTGCAATGAACTTGGGATGTATATAATTCGTGATAAAAATTTACTGGTGATTCGTCCTATGATTATATTGAGATTTAACTTACATTTATTATTTAACATACCTTACAATAAGACCAGTGATGTTCAGCTATATATTAGAACTATAAGACTAGTGATGTTTCATAAGATACTCACTTCCATTATTGTGTAAACTGGATTTGTGTCCACTTGAAATAAATTTACATCATGGTGATTCATCTTACGCGTATGTTGAGATTTAATTTACATTTCTCATTTGACATACCTTATGATTAAATTGGGATGAACTTAATCCGTGATAAAATTTACATGGTGATTTATCCAACGATTATATTGAGATTTAATTTACATTTATCAACATTCCTTGCGATGAACTTGGGATGTACATAATTCGTGATAAAAATTTACCGGTGACTCATCCTATGATTATATTGAGATTTAATTTACATTTATTATTTAACATACCTTATGATTAACTTGGGATGTACAGAATCCTTGAAGACTAACTGTGTTCACGTGAAATGAAAGGTGATCCTTCATATGTTTATATTGGGACTTAAAATACAATAGGATTTGAAACACATTACCTTTAAGTTGGGATGATCTTTGGTGTGGAGACCAGCCTTTGTCTTGTTCCTTTCCTAGACTTTATGGAATCGCTGCCGATAGACATGCCTATGTTGCCGATTGCTATCGGCTTGATAGCAATGGGATTACGTGGGATGTGCGCTTTAGGCGCTCTTTTCAGGATTGGGATATGGAGGAGGTTTTGTGTCCTTGGATTTGTTGTACCAACAGGACACAGTTGGCAGAGGTAATGATGCTCTCCTAACGGTTCCCTCTTCCCATGGTAGATTCAATGTCCGGTCCATGTTCTTGTGCCTCTCCAACTTTGCTAGTTCTGATTTCCCTTGGAAGATAGTATGGCAATCTAAGGCTCCCCTTAGAGTGGCATTCTTTGTATGGACAGCCGTTTGGGGTAAGATTTTGACGTTGGACAATCTGAGGAGAGGCAATATTATTGTTAACAGGTGTTGCCTATGCAAAAATGATGGTGAGTCTGTGGATCAACTCCTCGTGCACTGCCCTGTGGTGTCTAACTGTTAGAACCAGGGCCGGCCCTGGCCAAAGGCGACCAAGGCGGTCGCCTAGGGCCTCAGAATTTTGGGGGCCTCAAATTTTGTAGACCCATGTATGATGGGCTACAAAAGGAAAAAAAAAAAATTGTAACTAAATGCATCAAATCATTTAAGGGGCCTCAAATTTTATAGGCCCATTAATGTTGGGCCACCAAAAAAAAAAAAAAATGTATAACCAAAATGCAACAAATAAAGGACCTCAAGAATGATGGGCCACCAAAAAAAAAAATTTATAACCAAACCGTAACAATTGAAACTCGCCTTCAAATTTAAGGCCATCAAAATGGAGCAAGAATGATGGGCCAGCCTCCAAATGCAGCAAGAATGATGGATCATCAACTACTACTAGGGCCTCACATTTAAAGTTCGCCTAGGGCCTCTCAAGAATTTTTCAATCTAAGGGCCGGCCCTGGTTGGAACCTGATCTTTGGGTTATTCGATATTTATTGGGTAATGCCACGGTCTTCAAGGGGCCTAATCAATGCGTGGAGGGGATGCTATGTGGGGGGTCTTGCTCGTGAATATTGGAGGACAGTCCCGCATTGTGTTTGGTGGTGCATTTGGAAAGAGCGAAACAACAGACTTTTTGAAGGAAATGAGTCGTCCACGGCGACTCTAAAACTTTTTATTCTTCGTTACATCTTTAGTTGGGTGAAGGGAAGTCATTGTTCTTCTAATGATGCTTTCATAGATTTCTTGGACCTACTGGGTCCTTAGGTTTTGTTTTTGTAGTACGGACGCGTTCCCCTTTTGAACGCTCTTTTCATTTCTATTCATATTTACTTATAAAAAAAAAAAGTATATGTCCCTATGTTGGATCAAACAATATATGTCCCTTTGGGTACAAGTTTTTTCTTTCTGCTTCCTTGCAACTTGGGATGTACATAATCCGTGATAAAAATTTACTAGTGATTCATCCTATGATTATATTGAGATTTAATTTATATTTATTACTTAACATACCTTACAATTAACTTGGCATGTCCATTTGAAATTTCACAAATCAAAAACCCTAGTACAGATTATTGAAGATCTAAACCTTCAATATGCTTCAGAAATCAATAATTTCCTCTTCTTCCGAGCAATGAAGACCAAAACCAGTTGATTTTTAGGGTTTGTGTTTTGGGGTCCCCTATGCTAAGTTCAAAATTTGTGAGGGAAACGAAAGACTTGGTGGAAGACAGTGCAGTGTGGAAGATGATGTGACATAATAAAAAGTAATATCATTAAATTATTTTTTTATTAAGTATAAAGGACTAAGTATTGTGTATAGCATATAAAACTCACTTTTATATTTGTATACATACACTCCGTAACTCTTTAAGGTAGCTCAGTTAAAATTCCTAACCCAAACAAATACGTGATACGTGGCGCATCCTGGACCACAAAGTGAGGACTGGCTAGAACTGGTTCCCATTTCAAAGGAGAGGATTTTTGTCCGTGCTTCAACTGGGGTGGGGGTGTAAAAGCCATCAGGAAGGGCTGGGATGAATTCTCAACACGTTAGGTTTCGAGTCAATAGTGGGAGGAGTATATGGTTCAGGTGGATGACTGGTGTGGAGAGAGACTGCTAGCGATGGTTTTTCTAGGACTGTTTTGGATTGCAGCACATAGACTTCCTACAATAGCTGAATGTTATCGTCTTCATAACGGGAGCCCGATTTGGTATATACAATTCATGAGACTTTTTCAAGATTGGAAGGTGGACTTTGTAAAGCTCAGAGGGTGATGTGCATAATAAGCACGTCAGTGTGAGGTGTTGGGGAGGGGCGATGAGTGGGCATAGGGGGCAGATTCTCATTGGAGATTTGAGGTTCGCCCTTGCATAAGAGGTTATTGAACGTGGAGGGGTTGCCTTTACCTTAGAAGGCTATTTGGTGCACCAAAGCCCCTTCAAAGGTGGCTTTCTTTCGGTGGACAACAACTTTATGGAGGATTCTGACCATTGATAACCTCCGGAGAAAGCTTCAGATAATCGTCAACTGGTGCTGCATGTGTAAGAAGGATGAGGAGTTGGTGAACCATCTACTCTTGCATTGCCCGTGACTAGGGATGGATGGGGCTTTATTCTTGTCTGGTTCGATGTTTCTTTGGTCATGCCATATTCTACAAAGAGTATGTTCATATATTGAAGAAGATGTACAGCAGGGAAGCAAGCTCGAATTGCTTGGATTGTTGCTCCTCTTTGCTTGTGGTAGGGTATTTGGTAGAGAGAGGAGGAATAAGAGAACTTCTGGTGGGGAGAAGACTCCTATTTAAGCACTCAAATTCTCTATTCCTATTTTGTCAGTTTTAACGATAAATGGTCAAAATTGTAAATTTGTAGAGGATACGATGATTTTTGTGGATAGATTGAGGATATGGCATATTGTTTTGGCTGTGAGCTTTGGATTTGGGATGCACTCCCCATTTGAACACTTTTCTATGATATGTACTTATCAAATAAATAAATAAAAGCATTAACACTTCAATAATGGATAAGAAATGTAACTTCAACTAATATTTGCACTACCTTCTGATTCACTTGTTGAATGAATTAATACTTGTAACCCGCAACGTCAATTTCTTGCTCTTTTCATGAACATTTCTTGATATCCGTTCCAAGTCCAAGTTTGGTCTTAAAAAATTAAGAATCCAAATTTTATAATAATAATAATAAGCAATATTATGCAACAACAATAGATTGAACATACCAAATCTCCATCTATAAAAAAAAATAAAAAAATAAAAATCTCCGAACAAATAGTAACTATGTTTCATGCATTCATTGCAACAACTATAGATTTAACATAGCAAATATCGGAACAAATAGTATTTTATGTTTTATGTATTTCATTTGAATCCCACTCGGATTCCTAGAGATAATATTTATAGATTTCCCCCTCCATTTTTTCTTTTTCTTTTTTTCTCTCTTTGAACTATAGGGTAACAATCTATAGGAATCCCCCCCACCCCAACAAAAAAATTCAAATTGGATATTTTCAAATGACAAAAAAAAAAAGTACAACATATTATGAGGATAATGCAAATGAACAGAGAAGTAAATGTTAAACAATGAAAATATACTACTGCATTAGGCTCTAAGCAATAGAGCTTTTGGATCACATAACTTGTATTAAAATTATCATTCGAACGAAAGGTAATGAAAAATGAGGACACATGCATCATAAACACACTTACCTAGATCCTCAATGTAGATTGCATCATCAGCTGCATTAGTATGACATTTACGCCACAGTCGCCTGTCATTCCACAACATCAAGTCAAACTGACAATACAAAAACGTAGTCAGCCAAATTTGACGGATGAAGATGTAATTTTCATTTAAATTTGATCTCCTACAGTAGATCAAAATTCAGGTTCAAACCAAATTTAAAGGTAAACCATAAGTATTCGATGACAAAAAATTGTTAAATATGCTATATGAAGAATGTAGTAAAAGTCAACAAAATAAAAAAATAAGAAGAAGAAGAACGTAGTGAAGGGCAATCTTATTCAAGCCAAATAGTCACATTGATCAAGTTGGGATCATTATCTTTTTTCTTTTCTTTTCTTTTTTGATTAGTTTGGGATCATCACCACTATCCTTCCCTTTATCCCATGTAAATGGGATCAGTCATATCTGTTCTCTTATTTCATTCTTTGCTATTGAAATCATTTCTCCCATAATATTTAATTTTTCAATCAAGTCAAATTATTCTATCCCATATTAGTTAGCCTAATTATTTCTCTTTCTTTAAGAAAAATGTAAACACAAGAAATCCTCACCACTTTACAATGGCAGGCTATGAATCAAGTCTAGTTCAACTGAACATCTTTTTGTGTTTACCAATAAAAACCTCCCACAAGGAGTGATATAACAATAGAAGTACGTTCTCATTCATAGTATGATAAATCCTTGAATAATCAAGTATAAAACATCTTACTTTGTCATTATTTGTTTAAATTTCCACACTTCTACAATCCAAACCTGTCCTTGTCTGTCCCCAGCCCCCACCCCATAAAATAAATATAAATAAATAAATAACATAGTCCAATTATCATCGATCAGAGTCGAGCATTCCTTATCTAATTGAATAACCATTGATTAAATAATGGCCATATTTTTAAGAAACACAAGTTGACAGTTGTTATAACGTCTTTTGAGTATGAGTCGGCAACCCATAAATTTCAAATCAACTGATGCTCAAGTAAGGAACTTTTGCATATGTCATTGTGTTGTCTAAAATTCCATCAAAATAATATCTATTCTGACCTACAATTTTCATCACACTTCCAAGAAATTGGAAAGAAAGGAAAGAGACTTTACTCCAGCATACAATCAAATCTATAATTTCCAACTTTTCTACCACAAAAAGTCTTGCCACTTGCTAGTTGTTGGACATCATATTTACATGACAAAAAAGAACCAATGTGGTTTACATGGCAAGTCTTAGCAACTATCCCAGATGATTCACAACTAACTTCCTTGCAGTAGTTGACCTACAATAGAGATGCCACACTAGATTCAATATAAAATAGAATAAAGCAAATATAAATTGTTTCTTGCAAAAGGTCCAGAATTTACATCATGACCATAGTTATTAAAGGCCCAAGCCGCACCAAGGCGCTAGAGGTCTTTTGGAGTCTAGGCGCGAGGCGCGCGCCTGAGTAAAGTGAGGCGCACAATTGAAAATTTAAACTACCATAATAACATTCATATCTCATAAGTCATATCAATATTCTAAAAATTAATATTAAATATAAAAAAGTAAATCCATCAACTATACAAGCATCCAACAACCATAAAACAGAGTACAAATTTGTTTTCTTCAAAGGCAAAGCAAAATGTGTTTTTTGAATGGCAAAACAAAGCACAAAAAGAAATAAATATGTTAACAAAAAAAAAAAAAAAAGACAGAAAGATGAGAGAACAGAACAAAGAGAGAGATGTAAACAAAGATAAGAAGAGAGGAGAGATCTAGACGACAAAAAAAAAAAAAAAAAAAAAAAAAAAAAAGAAGAAGAAGAAGAAGAAGAAAGAACTGACGTGGCATCGTCGTTCATCTCTGCAACTAGGGCTTTGTCTTCGTCTCACAATCTCATTCTATCGTTGTTCGGTTAACACTTACTCTTGGGCTTTCTTATTTTTTTTATTCTTTTGAACAAAAGTTCCTTATATCGTATGATTGAGCTTTCTTTTTTTGCTTATTAAGTTGCCAAAAGTACCCCTTTTGGCTTAAGAAATAGAACAATCGTATTTTTTTAAACAAATATCAGTGAGGCGCGCCTAGGCGCACCTCACAAACAGGACAAGGAGCAACCGAGGCGCGCGCCTAGTAAACATCAGTGAGCTTGGGATGACAACAGGCGCAAAACCTAAGCCTTGAGCCTAGGCGCGTCTAGGTGTGAGCCTAGGCGTGCCTTTAACAACACTAATCATGACTAGCACAGGCCAATCACCATTTCCATGTTAAATTGTCCACTTCCTACATAAGTATAACAACAGTTTTGTATCAGTTTAGTGAATGACAAACACAATTTGATGTTCGATAGAAGTTTTAAATCCCTAAAACATGGGATAAAACACACAAATACATGTCCTGCTTGGGGAATCCAACTTTTTATGGTAGTGCAATTTTAATAGTTTTGTATTGCATTGATAAGAATGAAGTTTCAAATCTGTCCTTGTTAAAAGACAATTTAGTGCTCCGTAATTAGTGCAATTGTTTAGTTAAAAGGATAGTTTGGGAATGTTATAAAAAATTGTACATCCAATTTTGGAATGCGACATGTTTTTTGGGACATCCTAAAATAGAAAGATGGACAAGTATTTTAGGACAGAAGGAGTATTATCATTCATCAAGGACTATAATTTCCCCTAGATGCAGTCTTTTTGGCCTAGTTAATGTCCTCCCAGTACCCCCAACTCAAAACATGTCACTACTTGATGAATTCATTTTCTATGTTGCACATAATCAACAAATTTTAGATCACTCACAGTTATCCAGTTATTCATAATTGGTGTCACCTTTAATTTTCAATAGACTAGTGCATTCTAATTCTATATTATCCTATACATATGTATGCATGTATATGTTGCCGCTCCTCTAATTACTATCGTCACTTCAGTGGCATTTATGTACTGACTATTGCTACCTGAGAACCCACAGACCATTGCATGGAGCAGATTCCATAACAAAAGTTGATACTTGATACTTCTCTGACGTGTACAAACAAATATTGAATGTTTTCATAATTTTAAAATAAAATCATCGATTTTGTAAATGTGCTCTAGAGTGTAAACTGAATTAGGAACCCGTGCACATGCATAAGACACAATGATAATAATTAACTATTTAAACATACCAGCGGAATCCATTAATAAACTCAGAAGGAAGTCAGATTATGAATGAATCCAACATTTGCTTTGCCCATCAATATCCAGATAGATCCTACCTCTACTTTGATCTTCCACCCTCTCCACTTTTGCTCACGTCTCTGAATGGGGCAAGACTAAGTATGGAGCATCCGTGTGAGATCTATACCAATATATATATCTATATATATATATATGAAAATTTTATAAGATCCCTCCCATGATCCCATCAAGGGAACTATCATATCATAAAAAACTGATGTAGGACAAGAACGGACTCAAACAAAAGAAAGGAAATAAGAGTTGTGGGCTGGAAATTCAGATCAACAAAACTATTGTTCAAGAGTTGTTAGTAGAGAAGAAGGATTGAAAATAACAAAGAAAAACCTATTGGAATCACTCCAGCTGGGCCTAAGTATCACACCTAGAGAAGGTCTCACACCCTCAGAATTTGTGAATCACTCATGAGAAACCTCTAAAGATATTTTTTTATTCATTCATTGATTGATTCACCAAGATTACATTCTACCCATTTTATAGCATCTTATGACCCTTCGATTACCCCTAATTGAGGCAATCAATACTTGACTCTAACAAAATAAAAGTAATCACCCAATAATTGAGGTAATCAATACTTGACTCTAACAAAATAAAAGTAATCACCCAATAATTAAGGTAATCAATATTTGATTCTAGGATTACCCCATAATTGAGGCAATCAATTGACCCTTGGATTACCCCCATAATTAAGGTAATCAATACTTACCGAATAGCATAATTAAAGTAACTAAAGGTTGACCAAATCTCCCAATTATTCAAACTCCATGTGGACCCATATTATCTAGCATATGCCAGCTCGAATCTTAGAATTCCTCCTTTTGGCGCCTTTTATACACCTTTAAAGATTTTTGCCATTGATCTCCATCAATTCTCTCCGACTTGGAAAAACTCGACTCTGACGAGTTAAAGGGATGAAATTGTTCATAAAGATCTGGAGCTAGATATTGTAACTCACTATCAGCAATCCAAGTAAAATAAAAAATTGGGCGGTCCCTCCATGTAACAAGGAACTTCTGATAACCACTCTAAAAATCAGCTTTTGCGTTCCGACTCTCATTGCTTATTGCAGTCTTCCTTTGAACTTTAACACGAATATCTTGGATATGCTTACTAAAAGCATCAGCTTCAGCACTAGGGCGTGCCTGAATTAGTAAAGGTACTGAATCAATTAGCTTCCTAGGATGTAAACCTGCCACAATTTCAAAGGGGCCGCGCCCAATGGTCCTTTTTACAGAACTGTTGTATGCATATTCAGCCATAGGAAGAATCTGGTCCCAAGTCCCAACTAGTAATATGGTTACCAACAAGGCAACAAAGCAAGTCACCCAGGCTGCAATTAAAAACCTCGATTTGGCCATCAATTTGCGTGTGAAAAGAACAAGAAAAGTCCAGCCTTGTATTCAGCAAACTCCATAATTTGCGCCAAAAATAACTCGTAACTTCACATCTCGAGCAGAAACAATTGTGTTGTGCAACCCATGAAGACGAACAACGTCTTGGAAAAAAGGTTTAGCAATGTAGACAGAATCAGAAGTCCTATAACTCGAGGAAATGTGTCATTTCTGAAAAACGATTCACAACAATAGATATAGCATCATGTCCTACAATAGTTCTAGGCAAGACAAAAGAATCTCTTGACTCATGATTCTCTATCATTCTAACTTCCACGCTCAGGTTTCTTTTTGCAATGTTAACGTGGTGGCAAAGAACACGCTGCATATTATCATTCAACGCAAATTTCTTGCATAGAAGCTCCTCATCTGCGGTATTGTTAGCAAGTATCGCAACATGGTTTTGGAGAGAATGACACTGATCAACAATGTCAACAATCACCCCTTGCTTTGTGCCCT